TTCTATTTCTTCCTGGTTCAGTCTTGGAAGGTTGTGCTTTTCTAAGAATTTGTCCATTTCTTCCAGGTTGTCCATTTTATTGGCATATAGTTGCTTGTAGTAATCTCTCATGATCATTTGTATCTGCAGTGTCAGTTGTTACTTCTCCTTTTTCATTTCTAATTCTATTGATTTGAGTCTTCTCCCTTTTTTTCTTGATGAGTCTGGATAATGGTTTATCAATTTTGTTTAGCTTCTCAAAGAACCGGCTTTTAGTTTTATTGATCTTTGCTATTGTTTCCTTCATTTCTTTTTCATTTATTTCTGATCTGATCTTTATGATTTCTTTCCTTCTGCTAACTTTGGGGGTTTTTTGTTCTTCTTTCTCTAATTACTTTAGGTTGTAAGGTTAGGTTGTTTATTTCAGATGTTTCTTGTTTCTTGAGGTAGGATTGTATTGCTATAAACTTCCCTGCAAGAACTGTTTTTGCTGTATCCCATGGGTTTTGGGTCATCGTGTTTTCACTGTCATTTGTTTCTAGGTATTTTTTTATTTCCTCTTTGATTTCTTCAGTGATGTCTTGGCTATTAAGTAGTGTATTGTTTAGCCGCCATGTGCTTTTTTTTTTTTTACAATTTTTTTCTTGTAATTGATATCTAGTCTCATAGCATTATGGTTGGAAAAGATACTTGATAGGATTTCAATTTTCTTAAATTTACCAAGGCTTGATTTGTGACGCAAGATATGATCTATCCTGGAGAATGTTCCATGAGCACTTGAGAAGAAGGTGTATTCTGTTGTTTTTGGATGGAATGTCCTATAAATATCAATTAAGTCCATCTTGTTTAATGTATCATTTAAAGTTTGTGTTTCCTTATTTATTTTCATTTTGGATGATCTGTCCATTGGGGAAAGTGGGGTGTTAAAGTCCCCTACTATGATTCTGTTACTGTCAATTTCCCCTTTTATGGCTGTTAGCATTTGCCTTATGTATTGAGGTGCTCTTCTGTTGGGTGCATAAATATTTACAATTATTAGACCTTCTTCTTGAACTGATCCCTTGATCATTATATAGTGCCCTTCTTTGTCTGTTGTAATAGTCTTTATTTTAGAGTCTATTTTGTCTGATATGAGAATTGCTACTCCAGCTTTCTTTTGATTTCCATTTGCATGGAATATCTTTTTCCATCCCCTCACTTTCAGTCTGTATGTGTCCTGAGGTCTGAAGTGGGTCTCTTGTAGACAGCATATATACGGGTCTTGTTTTTGAATCCATTCAGCCAGTCTATGTCTTTTGGTTGGAGCATTTAGTCCATTTACATTTAAGGTAATTATCGATATGTACGTTCCTATTACCATTTTCTTAATTGTTTTGGGTTTGTTATTGTGGGTCTTTTCCTTCTCTTGTGTTTCCTGCCTAGAGAAGTTCCTTTAGCATTTGTTGTAAAGCTGGTTTGGTGGTGCTGAATTCTCTTACTTTTGCTTGTCTGTAAAGATTTTAATTTCTCCATCAAATCTGAATGAGATCCTTGCTGGGTAGAGTAATCCTGGTTGTAGGTTTTTCCCTTTCATCACTTTAAATATGTCCTGCCACTCCCGTCTGCCTTGCAGAGTTTCTGCTGAAAGATCAGCTGTTAGCCTTAAGGGGATTCCCTTGTATTTTATTTGTTGTTTTTCCCTTGCTGCTTTTAATATTTTTTCTGTGTATTTAATTTTTGATAGTTTGATAATATGTGTCTTGGCATGTTTCTCCTTGGATTTATCCTGTATGGGACTCTCTGTGTTTCCTGGACTTGACTTGACTATTTCCTTTCCCATATTAGGGAAGTTTTCAACTATAATCTCTTCACTATTTTCTCTGTCCCTTTCTTTTTCTCTTCTTCTGGGACCCCTATAATTCAGATGTTAGTGTGTTTAATGTTGTCCCAGAGGTCTCTGAGACTGTCTTTAATTCTTTTCATTCTTTTTTCTTTATTCTGCTCTGCAGCAGTTATTTCCACTATTTTATCTTCCAGGTCACTTATCCATTCTTCTGCCTCAGTTATTCTGCTAATGATTCCTTCTAGAGAATTTTTCATTTCATTTATTGTGCTGTTCATCATTGTTTGTTTGCTCTTTAGCTCTTCTGGGTCCTTGTTAAATGTTTCTTGTATTTTCTCCATTCTATTTCCAAGATTTTGGATCATCTTTACTATCATTACCCTGAATTCTTTTTCAGGTAGACTGCCTATTTCCTCTTCATTTGTTTGGTCTGGTGGGTTTTTACCTTGCTCCTTCATCTGCTGTGTGTTTCTCTGTCTTCTCATTTTGCTTCACTTACTGTGTTTGGGGTCTCCATCAAAGACTGGAGGCTTTGTAGTTTCAGGCTGCAGGTTCGTAGTTGCCATTGTTTATGGTGTCTGCCCCCAGTGGCTACGGTTGGTTCAGTGGGTTGTGTAGGCTTCCTGGTGGAGGGGACTATTGCCTGTGTTCTGGTGGATGAGGCTGGATATTGTCTTTCTGGTGGGCACAACTGTGTCTGGTGGTGTGTTTTGGGGTGTCTGTGACTTTATTATGATTTTAGGCAGCCTCTCTGCTAATGGGTGGGGTTGTGTTCCTGTCTTGCTAGTTGTTTGGCATAGGGTGTCCTGCACTGTAGCTTGCGGGTCGTTGAGTGGAGCTGGGTCTTAGAGTTGAGATGGAGATCTCTGGGAAAGCTTTCGCCATTTGATATTATGTGGACCTGGGAGGTATCTGGTGGACCAGTGTCCTGAACTTTGCTCTCCTACCTCAGAGGCACAGGCCTGACACCTGGCTGGAGCACCAAGACCCTGTCTGCTACATGGCTCAGAAGAAAAGGCAGAAAGAAAAGAAAGAAAGAAAGAAAAAAGGAAGGAAGGAAGGAAGGAAAGGAAGGAAGAAGAAAGAAAGAAAGAAAAGAAAAGAAAAATCATAATTATTAAAAAGTAAAAAGTAATGAAAAAAAAGAAATGGACAGAGAGAACCCTAGGACAAATGGTAAAAGCAAAGGTATACAGACAAAATCACACACAGAAGCATACACATACACACTCAAAAAAAGAGAAAAAGGGGAAAAAATATATATATCGTTGGTCCCAAAGTCCCCTGCCTCAATTTTGGAATGACTCGTTGTCTATTCAGGTATTCCACCGATGCAGCATACATCAAGTTGTGGGGAGTTTCTTGCCTTTTGGGAGGTCTGAGGTCTTCTGCCAGCGTTCAGTAGGTGTTCTGTAGGAGGTGTTCCACGTGTAGATGTATTTCTGATGTATTTGTGGGGAGGAAGGTGATCTCCACGTCTTACTCTTCCACCAATTTGAAGGTCTCTCCCCTCCCATTTTTATAACGGTCTGTTCTATGCATCAGTGTTCTTTTTCTTTTTAGGGTCCCTTTTTTTTCTCTGAGCTAGCAACGATTTTGCTTATTATATGCTATTTATAGTGAGAGCTTCAAGCTCCGCTTTCAGTAACAAATTACACCTCATTTGCTCTTCTAAACAAATGCAATGCTTCGGCAAAGACCTTAATCGGAAGAAGAGAGAGTTGAGATGCTGTTACTGTCCCTTCTTTCTCTTTCTCCCCTTTTATTGACTCCTCCCCCTCCTGGTCTCCACCTGCACCTGGGGCCCCAGGACCTTCATTTTAACACATCTTCCAAAGAAGTAGCAGGGAAGCCCATCTGATCCGGAGAAACTTGTTCCTGGTTCTGGAAGCAGAGATGCAAGAAGCAGCCAAACTGCACAGAGCGAATCCGCTGAGAATCTCAAGAGGGAGGCATCTGACAGAGTCATACTAACAATGACAGTATTTTGCTTCCTTTAGAAGCACTCCAAGTGCTTCACCCGTATTAGCTAATATCGTGTGGTGAGGAGGTGTGATTATACCTAGCCAGGGGTTTATTGTCAAAGCCATCAGGCCACAGGAATTCCGTTGGTCACAGTATTTATAGTGGCTTCTTTTCCGTGTCTGATTCCCCACCCCTTCCTCTTTTTTTTTTTTTTTTTTTTTGCGGTACGCGGGCCTCTCACTGCTGTGGCCTCTCCCGTCGCGGAGCACAGGCTCCGGACGTGCAGGCTCAGCGGCCACGGCTCATGGGCCCAGCCGCTCTGCGGCATGTGGGAACCTCCCGGACCGGGGCACGAACCCGCGTCCCCTGCATCGGCAGGTGGACTCTCAACCACTGCGCCACCAGGGAAGCCCCTCCACCCCCCCTTCCTCTTAAAGAGCCTCAGTATTGGTGAGAATGCATTTGTATCCTCACTCTTTAAAAACTAAACATGAGGGCTTCCCTGGATTCCCAGGCCCCCAGTGCCCTCCTGACTCCCCAGAGCCGTGGTGCCCTGACAAAGCTTCTGTTTTCCAGGGAATAGCTGGTATTCCCATTGTCCCATTCCTTGTGTATTTAATAAAGATTTGGAAGAGAGAGTAAAAGCAGGTGCAAGTTATGTGTTTGAGCATCAGACACACCTGAGTTCCATTCTTGCCTCTGTCACTTATTAGATGTGTCATCTCAGGAAAATCGCTTAATGACTCAGAGCCTGTTCTTCATCTGCACGATGACAGTACAGACCACCTCCAAAGAGTGCTGTGCAGAGACTGGGGACATGGGGCCCCTGCTCCACATGGTCACTCAGGGCCTCAGGCTGAGGTTGCCGGGCGGCTGAACCAAAAGGGAAAGAGAGCTCCCAAGCGTCTCTCGTTAGCATTTTAAATGGGTAACAGGCCCACCTACATCGGATGGGCTAGGACCAGTCACACGGTGCCACCTACCCACCCACAAAGGTTCTGGGAAGTGCAATGCCCACGGGTGCCAGGAAAGCTGAGAGCCAGAAACAGCTGGCACCTCGTGCAGCGTGTAAAGCAGCTGGCACTATGATGGGTGTGCTCTAAGGGCTGCATCCAGGCTAGCCAGATTTTGGTTTGGATCTGTTATATATAAAATGTTGTTTATGTACTATTTTAGTATATTCAGGAGTGTCCATGGCTGATAATTCATTGACGTATTATGTTCTCCCTTTCAGAAGTACCCACAGTTGAAGAGAAGATTCGTGGAGATGTGAGAGTAAACCTCGAGGAATGAGTCTCACCAGTAGCTCAGATGGCGGAAGGATTCAGGTTTCCAGAGGAGGCAGCATCTGGCCTGGTTTGGGCGTGTGGGTAGCATCTCAGACACAGGGAGCCAAGGACGACCTCAGCATGGGGCACAGAGCACCCGAGTTCTCCGCTTCGGGCCTGGGAATTTATCTACAACTTGCTCGTTTGTTTATTCATTGACTGGTTACTGAATGCTCCTGTGTGCTGGGCACCGGGGCTGTGGCCCTGAGAACAACAGACACTGCCTTCAGACGATGCGTTTTAGGGGAGAAGACACATGAAGCACAAGTAGGTGGTGGTAACTGCAGAGCCAAGGGTGTCGGCTGTGCCGGGGTGCACAGGGTGGGAGGGTGTAGCTGCTTTATCTGGGGTGGTCAGAGAAGGAATTGAGGGAGCAGGCCCTTGGGGAGCTGGGTGAAGAACATCCCTGACAGAGGGGCTGCAGGACCAGGGAAGAGTGCCACGGTGGAGAGAACAGGATCTAGGAGTGGAGTATCAGAGCTTCGTTGGTTCTGCTACTGATTTGCGCTGGTTCTTGGACCCAGTGACAAAGCAACGTGATTGTGAGGATGGGCTAGGAGCTGGACCACGTGGATGTGAATCCCAGCTCTGCCACTTATGACTAGATGAGCCGGCAAGCTACTTAACCTTCCCAAGCTTCCATTTCGCCATCTGAAAATATGGGGGAAACCCCCGTGCTCCAGGCCCTCTTTGGGAGGATTAGATGAGTTAATTCACATAGAGCACCGAAACCAGGGCCGGACCTGCTGTGAGCCCAAGCTGACAGCAGCTATTTCTATGAGAGCAAGTTGTTTGCCCTCTATGGGGTGCAGTACTGTCATCCCAGATTGTGAGCTTCAGAGAGGTGGTCTCTTTAAGTGCTCAACCCAAAGATTCTTGGAAATCTGATGTTAATTTACATGTTATTTTATGGACCATTTCATGTCATTTGTTAACTGCTTTTTTTTTTTTTACGGTCTGCCCCCATCACTGTCCTCTTGCAGGGTTTAGCTTCTTTCCAGTGATGTTGAGTATGGGGTCCTTCACTTGTCTTTGCTAGAATTCCACTTCTCTCTGCCTCACTGGTGGGCTTTATTCCTTCTGGGATCTTTACACAGCACTCAGTGCACTTAGTTGATAAAAAACATTCTCTCTATTAATTTCAATACACTGGCAAGGGATCTCTGTAGCAGAAACTTTAAAAAATGAAATTTCATTAGGTCCCAAATTGAGCTACTTGTAATGAGGTGGATGGACCTGAAGTCTGTCATACAGAGTGAAGTAAGTCAGAAAGAGAAAGACAAATACCGTACGCTAACACATATATATGGAATTTAAGGAAAAAAAATGTCATGAAGAACCTAGGGGTAAGACAGGAATAAAGACACAGACCTACTGGATAATGGACTTGAGGATATGGGGAGGGGGAAGGGTGAGCTGTGACAAAGCCAGAGAGAGAGGCATGGACATATATACACTACCAAACGTAAGGTAGATAGCTAGTGGGGAGCAGCCGCATAGCACAGGGAGATCAGCTCGGTGCTTTGTGACCACCTGGAGGGGTGGGATAGGGAGGGTGGGAGGGAGGGAGACGCAAGAGGAAGGGAATATGGGAATATATGTATATGTATAACTGATTCACTTTGTTATAAAGCAGAAACTAACACACCATTGTAAAGCAATTATACTCCAATAAAGATGTAAAAAAAAAAAAGAAAAAGAAAAAGACATTTCAGGCCTGTTTTCTGTTTGGAGACCAAGTGTCTGGGTCCACAAAATCACAGACACTCATGGATGGCCCTCCCTGCAACACTGTCCTGGATGCCAACAAAGCTTTGTACGGCCCACCTGACTACTGCCCTGGCCACAGTGCCCCATACAGTGGGACACTTGAAAATCCCTCCAGTCTCTCCAGAACTCATGGTGCAGTGCGATCCTCAGTGCTGGGGACCAGCTGGTGTTCATATTGGATGGAAAGGGGGTTTAGAATGAAAACTGAAACCAGGGATCCGATATCTCTGGGTACCAGAGACGCCAGACTTCACTTCCCCAGCTGGGTGGTCAATTCCATAAGGACCCTGGTGAGGAGGGATCGGAAAGCCCGGACGGGAGTGCCAGTGCCACCATTTATGAGCTCTGTGACCTGAGTCTCAAGTTTCTTATCTATAAAATGTGGGTCTGCACCTTTCTTTTGATGAATAAATGACAATATGTGGCTTTATAAATTCTTTACTTATTATCCTGCATAAATAATGAATGTGCATATTTATCTTGCTAAATAAATATACGGCGGCTCTTCAGTTTTAGATCCTGACAAGTCCACAACCTACTGAGTCTATTGTATTTCTTGGTCGGGTTGGAAGCAGAGAGAACAGTGCCTGGAGAGGGCTCTGGGTCCAGGTAAACCCAGCAGAGGGTGGACCTTGTAAGGGTGTCTCCCCCTTCTCCTTCACCCTGGGGATTACTTATTTATCAACTAGTGAGTGCAGATTCATGCACCTGTAAATAAATCATGCTCTTAGCGATTCTCCCTTGCCCAGAGCATGTGGACCCTGACACCCGGGGAGGGACATCTGGACCCAGCCTGAAGCCCCCGTCTGGTTCTGCGTCCTCACCCGGCTCCTTTCCTGCCACCTGTCACTCACACGCGCCCGCTCAGCCTGCAGGCTGCCTTGGCCGCCTCTGCCCTGGCTGCCGCTCTGCCCACATCAGCTTGCAGACCGTCTAGAATCTCCCCACGCCCCTCCCCATCCTGCCCACCAAGACGCCGTCTAGCACAGGGCTTGTCCTTTTCATTCCTAAGTCGTGAGCCCACCTGGTCCCACAGTATGGCTTTAATTTATGTTGGGCGAACACATGGAAGGTCGAAGAAGCTGAGGGGAGAGAGAATGAAGGGACTTCCTTCCAGGCCTCCCGGCAAAGCAGCTGCGCAGCCAGAACCCCAAACCGAGAATCCAGTTCCTACATGGAGCTTTCCATCGAGTCAGGCTAGCTGGGGCCTGGCTGTGCTTCTGGGGCGGGTAAGCCGCGTTTGGCGGGGCCGCGGCGTCATCTCCTTTGGGATCGCCCTCCGCCCGCAGGGGCGCCACCTGCTCGCCACGGGGACGCAGCCCTCGCGCCCAGCTGGGACAGCTCTCCCTGCTTGTGGCTGAGGCAACAGCGCCACCTGCTGGCCTTGAGGCCCCGGCCGCAGCCTGCCTCCAGAGGTCTCGGGCGCCCTCTGGTGGGCATTCAGAAGATGCAGCGCAAAAGTGGCCTGGTTACTCCCAGGGCGCCGAGAACCATGATGTCCCTGGGGCCTTTTCCACCTTTGATGTTTGAGCCATGCTATGGGCCCGCACTGGAACCAAGCCTAGAAAGCAAGGCTTTATAGCAACTTAGGATGCAGACGATCAGAGCCGTATGATGGAACAAGTTTCCAGACACAGATGACATGGCATGCTCTCTGGTGACAGAAGGTCCACACAGCTCCCCCAAGTGGCACATAGAGCCGTGGGAAAGGCGGTGGTGGTGAGAAAGAATTGTGGAGGAATTGGGAAGTAAAAAGAAGTGGAGGGAAAGGAAGGGGTGCTATTCTGACCTCCACACCCCTCCTCCAGGACTGAAATCACCAAGGAGGCCATTTGAGAAGAGCAGGCTGCAGTGTAGACAGCCTCTCCCCAGGAGGAGGTCTGCAGCATGTCCAGTTACCCTTGTCTGAGCCCTTCAGGAACACACCCGGCCCTGAGTGTCCCCTTGTCGCTGTCCTATTACTGCCGATCATTGTTGGCTCTGCTGGAGCTCAGCCGCCCTCGGCTCCTGTGTCAGCCATGTAAGAATCTCAGAGGCTTGGGAACGCGAGCCCAGCTTGAAATATACTTCCCTGAAGGGCTTATTTTGTTTTGGGACAAGTCTCATGCCAGTCTGTTCTGCCAAGAAATGATTGGTGTTGAACCGTTGGTTTCCATTGCTGTCAAACACAATCTTACATGGAGAGTAAGGGGGCAGTCACTCTGGAGGACCAGCTGGGAAAGAAGGCTTCTGACTGGCTGGGACTTTCTTAGAAGCCCCTGGAGAATTTTTTTTTTAAAGGAACATCTGGAATGGCTGATGTCCGATGAGCAGGACACTTTTCCAGTGGGTCCTGTCCGTCTAAAGTGGCTGCAGTCAGATTCCACAGGTGTCCAGGGAGAAGGGTGAACAGAGGTCCAGAGCCCCAGCTTAGCTTTGGGCACAGGCTTGGATTTCCTCTATTCCAAATGCAGACAGTCCTGCAGGGTCCCGCCTAGCACACAAAGGTCGGGAAGAATGCAGAAGCAATGTCCCAGTGTTTGTGCAGGTCTTAGGTTACTGAAGGGAGTCTGGACAACATTGGTAGAGAAGCTTGCTTTCCATTCATGCCTCTTAAGACACCTGAAGGTGTGAGAAGGTGAAATTTGACGCTGCTGGCCTTGTTCTTGTGTTTGTTTTGTTTTTCATCCTCATACAACTTAATTGAATGCAAAACTAGTAGAAAATTCATAGCTCAGAATCTGTTCAGATGAATGGTTGGTTAGGAGTCAAAGACACTGACTTTGTGAGTGTTCACTGCATTCATTCTCCCTCCCTGGGCCTCAGTTTCCTACTCTGTACAGTTGGGGGTTGACTGACTTTCAAGGACCTTTACAGTTCTGATGCTCTTTGGTTCTTTAAAATGAAGCCTCATGTCATGCCGTGGTTGACTACCCATCACATTATCATGCATAATGGTCCTTGCTTTACCAAGGAATGTTCGTCTGCTCATGCATTTCCCCACCCATTCATTCAGCGAACGGTGAGTGCCTGCAACGTTCTGGCACTGCTGTGGGCACCAAGGACAAGCTGGGAATAAAGCGAGGTCCTGGCTCACCTGGAGCTTGCAGTCTTGTGCGGGTCAGTCACACACAATAAAAAAAAAATCTAAAAATGTGTGGCGTCGTGTACTGTCCTACAGCGTGAGATAACGTAATGACAGTCAGCTGGTAATAAGTGCTAGGAAGACAAAGCAGACAGGGGTCGTGGGATGAGGAAAGCTGTTTTCTAGACAGCGTGATCAGGAAAGTCCTCTCTGAGAAGAGAAGGTGGCATTTGGCAAGAGAAGACGGATGAGGGCGTGAGAACTGCACGTCCGGGCAGGCACGCGGGCAGGAGGGCCGCACAGAGGCTGGACGCGAGCGTGCTGGGCCTGGCGGGGGGGAGATAAGGAGGCTGCACGTGGGAAAGGAGGCTGCATCCCTGGATCCCATCTTGGGTTTTGATACCAAGTGTGATGGATGCCATTGGAGCTGGTGTGTTCTTGAGTCAGTGTTGTGAGCATGCCTCCCGGCACTGGGGGCGCCGAGAGGTAAACTACAGTCTCCGCGTGCAAGGGCCTCGAAGGTGCCCGGGTGCCCACATGTGGCGGTAACGGGCGGTGGCAGGAACTGTGTGCGGGATGGAAGCAGCGGGATGGAAGCAGCGGTGCAGGCTCCCGCCCTCGAGGAGCTCCGCCTAGGGCCTGGAGGCTGGGAGCTCCGTGCTGTGCCCATCAGGAGGCATGGCCCGGACCACCGAGAAGCGGCTCGAGCAGCCGTCTGGAAGGAGTCAGTGGGGCAGAGGCAGGAGTGGGAGGAACCCGTGTGGGCAATGGCTGGGCTGCCACAGCGGTTCTCACGGCAAAGGTGGCGGAGTGAGTGAGTGAGCAGGCTGGCCAAGGAGGCCAGGGCCCGCCCACGCTCCTCCCCGAGCTGCACGGGAAGGGGCAGATCCCCACCCAGAATGTCATCACGACTGAGCGGCCAGGCCCTGCTGCCCTCTCTTGTGCACAAGCGGTGCATGGTCCCCCTTGAGGCCTCGGCCCCTCCAAGTGCTGAAAGGGATGGTTCCTCGTAGGCCACCAGGCCCCACCTGCCCTGCGGGTGAAGCCGTCGCCCCCAGGGGCCCAGCTAAGGAAGGATAGCAGCTCAGCGTGGCCGTGAGCCCACGCGTTTCGTCGTGTGACTGGCCGCTCCCTGCATCTGACTGAGCCCTCCAGATGCTCAAGGGCCTCCCGACCAGGGACCGCCTTTCTGCGAACCAATGTGATTGTCCAAAAGTGAGCCTGTCTGCACCTAGGCCTGTGTTTCCCCGTGTCTGCTTCTGGGCGGGAAGAGTTGCAGGACCCCAACTTACTGGGCACAGATTGGAGCCTAGGGCCTCCGGCCGTCTGTCCGCTGAGAGGTGGGACGTGCAACACTCCCGGGACCAGCCGCCTTGAGCCGGGGCTG